GAACACAGGAGGACAATCTTGGCACAAGAGAAGCGAGCACTCCGTAAAGCCAGAGCTGCAAATGCTGAAGCAACAGTGTCCACATTTCTCTGTTCAGTATGTGGCAGAACATTCCGTGCTAACATCGGTCTCATCAGCCATCTACGGACACACCGTTGATGGCCCACAATCCACAAGATGTCAAGGTCTTCATCGAAAAATCGATGGACGAACAACAACATCAGGGGTAGTCAACCTTGGCTCTTTTATGACTCGTGGACTTCAACTCCCAGAATTCCTGAGCCAGCTGTGCTGGCTCAGGAATTCTGGGAGTTGAAGTCCACGAGTCATAAAAGAGCCAAGGTTGACTACCCCTGGGTTATATGTTTGAGTCATCCTGGTGGGCAATATAGAAGTTAGTGGTACCAAACTGAGCCTGCTCTAGACTTTAAAAAAAAGTCTGATGAACTCCAGAAATGTTTTTTTTTTCCAAAAACAGCAATGCTGAAAGCAGGATAAGCCACTGAACTGAATTCAGATTTCCCGAGCCTTCCTTCTGAAATCAATGAGATTTGTCTCATTAAATTAATTTAGATTGATATCAGTGAGCCTCCTGGCCATCTGGATCAGGATCAGTTTAGTCAGGGAAGAGCATTTGCACAGTTGTTTGTTTCTATTTCCGATTTGCGTTGGCCACTGCCTTAGCCGATGTCCTTCATGAGATTAATCTCTCCTGCAGACCAGAACGAGTTTTTCTGGAACGCTGCACTCTGCACACAACTCCAATTAGCATCAAGGCATGTCTCGGCATGCCTTGATAGTCAGATGGTCAAGAGCAGCTCCAAAAGACACTAATCCGACAATGTTTCTGGGTAGGGGAGGTGGGAAGCCAAGACAAGCCATGCACAAAACATGCTTACATCTCCAGATCCAAATTGGGAGGACAATTCTCTACTTGGCTTATCTTTGACATTAATTACATCAAGTCTACTTCAATGTTTCCACAAACATTGTAATGCATCTTTTGGCTGCTCTTAGCAGCACTATTTACAAACCCCAGTAATAATATTCCAAATGAATTGATTCCTACTTCATAGACAAGGGGGCTTTGTGACTCAGTTGGATGGGAACGTGTCCTGTGTGAACATCCAACCCAGAGATGCCAGAACCAGATGTTACACAGACTGTAGGACATCTAATTAGGGGTGAGACAAAGTGCCTCTTCCAGCTTCTCTGTCCTTTTCGATTGTAAGGAAAAGACACATTTCACCGACTTGGGTGAATATGTATAAGAGGCAAAGCTGGTGATAAAAATTTTCTCCCCTACCCAAAAATCTAGACATAAATTTGTAGATAATGTAATGCTTTTGATGATTGATTACTTAGTCCAGATATTATGTGGTTCCTTGGCATCTTCACTGTATAGATGAGCCACCGTTGAATGAGGGGCCATAACGATGGAAGCAAGTATTATTTTAAGCTTGTGAGCATGTGTAAAATCTTTCCCAACTCAGAGCATTCCTACAGAGCAAAGCTGAATCTACAAGCTGTTTTTAGGACCTTACATTTACAGTAGATTAATAGTTCTTTATCTTTCCATTCACAGTGGAGATGGGTACCTTTGACGACTCCTTCAGAGTCCTGGATGTAACTCGTTCTTTTTTTTTACAACCATGTCTTCTTATTAGATCAAAGATAACAAACTGAACAGAGACAAAATGCCCAAAGAAGAGGCAAAATCCATCTGGGATCGCAAGAAGGGAATGCCGGATTCCAAGCCACAAAATGGGGAATGCTTCCAAGAACTCCCTGCTCACAAGCTGAAGCACACAGAGCATGCTTTTGGGTAAGATATACACTCTTGGGCAAGGACGTTTACACTCGGACCCAATTGTTGCCTTTTATGGGTCTTATTGCAACAGGCTACACTGCTATGCAAAGGCTAAGGACGACTTTTTTGCATCACCTTGAAAAAGTATCTTGCTTTAACTTGACAGGGAACATAAATCAGCCTTCCCTAGTCTTGTAAATGGCCGTTGCTTAATCTTGCAAGTATTATTACTCGGTTGATATTCATATCCAGTTAGCTTTAAACTGGGAAATCTATCTATCTATCTATCTATCTATCTATCTATCTATCTATCTATCTATCTATCTATCTATCTATCTATCTATCTATCTATCTATCTATCTTCAACATGCACTGTATCAGCATGGTTGATCACAATCCATAACTTCAATGAGGTCTTAATTCTGCAGTAGAATCATAGAAATGTAGCGCTAGAAGGGACCTTGAAGATCTTCTAGTCCAGGGGCAGGCAACCTTGGCTCTTTTATGACTCGTGGACTTCAACTCCCAGAAGGCTCAGGAATTCTGGGAGTTGAAGTCCACGAGTCATTAAAGAGCCAAGGTTGCCTACCCCTGTTTTAGTCCAACTCCCTGATCAAAGGCAGGAGTCCTTATACCATCCTGGACAAATAGTTGTAGATGGATTTCAAGTGATGGTGATAATAATACAAAAAAGGAAGAAAACAGAAATACAAAATAACAAAAAACCTTATTGGCATAAATTAATTTTTTCAGCCTAATTTTTAAACAGATCATGAAACCCTGGACACACAAATAATATAATATTTCTATTATCCAATAGAAAGGGTTAATCTGAGATAGCTCTACATTTTCAATACTGAACAACAGTTTTTCTTGCTTCCCCATGCTTGATAAGTCACTTCTAAGTTCTACTTTTTTGAATATAATTCAAAAGTACACCATCATCTTTTAAAATGTAGTGTAATACCCTAGTAAGAGGTTTATGGATATCAAACCAAAATGGGGCAATAATATTCCTTTATCCATTTTTCCAGCATAATAAAATTAATAGCTAGCCATTTTTAAATGTTCTCTGGGATAGAATATGGAAAATAACCTTTTTTTGAAAATCCTGGGATACTGCAATTGGCTGTACATGTGGGCCAGTTTCCAAGTGCCCCAAATACGGTCATGTTTTCTGTGGGGCGGCCCTCAGAACTTAGAAACTGGGTCGTAAGTAGTTCTGGAAAGGTCTAATGCAGCTTTGAATGGTCAAGAGGGAGTCAGGCTATTCTCCAAAGCCCCTGAAGGCAGGACAAGAAGCAACGGATAGAAACTAATCAAGGAGAGAAGCAACCTAGAACTAAGGAGAAATTTCCTGACAGTTAGAACAATTAATCAGTGGAACAACCTGCCTCCAGAAGCTGTGAATGCTCCAACACTGGAAGTTTTTAAGAAACTGGACATCCATTTGTTTAAAAAAGTATAGGGTTTCCTGCCTGAGCAGGGGGTTGGATTAGATGACCTCCAAGGTCCCTTCCAACTTTATTATTATTATTATTATTATTATTATTATTATTATTATTATTATTATTATTATTATTATTATTATTATTACTACTACTACTACTACTACTACTACTACTACTACTACTAAGTCATGGATTACCTGTACTTACTGCTTACCTTCATTTATATAAGTCTATTGATTGATGCAAATGGCTCCCATCTCAGTGTTCCTTACTGAAGTCGTGGTTAGATTACACAACTGCTTTGCTTTAACCCCTCATTCCTTTCTCATGAGGAAGAGGCCCAAAGGAGGGTCGCCCAGGTGTAATGCAAGCTTTGCCTCCTGGTGTTGCACCCGCATACCAAAGGGAAGAAACTTGCATTGAGAGTGAGTGTTGCTGCTTTTTTTGTTTTTTGATCCTGGGGACAACCTTGCTCAAAATTATCCTCTACTTTTAAAATATATTTTACTTATTATCTTTCTAACCCATCGGAATCAACGGCTCCCAGTAAAGGCTGTTGTTAAATGAATTTTGCTCCATTTTATCACTTCCCCACACACACACACAGTTAAATGAATCGCTGCAGTTGTTAAATGAAATCATGCAACCGTTAAGCGAATCTGTCTTCCCCCATTTTGATTTTGCTAGTTGAAAGCCAGCTAGGAAGGTTACAAATGGCGAGATCACCCTGGGGAAATGCAACTGTCATAAATAGAGGCCAAGTGCCTGAATTTTGATCACGTGACCATGGGAATGCTACAATAGCCATAAGGGTGAAAAATAGTCATAGGTGACTTTTTTGGTGCTGTTGTAACTTCAGATAGCAATAGTAATAGCACTTAGATTTATATACCACTTCATAACGCTTTACAGCCCTCTCTGTAAGCAGTTTATAGAGTCAGCCTATTGCCCCCAATAATCTGGATCCTCATTTTATCAACTTCGGAAGGAGGGATAGCTGAGTCAACCTTGAATCGGTCAGGATCGAACTGCCAAATTGCCTGCAGCCAGGAGTTAGCAGAAGTAGCCTGCAGTACTGCATTCTAACCACTGCGCCACCAGGCTCTGGTCACTAAACGAATGGTTGTACGTTGAAGATTATCTGTATTTGAAAAAGCAGTCGTTATAAAGAGGATTTGGATTTTGATGTTTTAAAACGGAGAGAGCCCTTGAAACCAAGATCTGCCTTAGGAAGAGATACCATCCACAGCTGTACCCCATCTCTAGTGGGGTTTATAATTCTTTCTTCAGGGTGAAGAAGAATCGGTGAGCGACAGGTGGCTTCTTCTTCGTAAAATGTTTCTCTTTCTTTCTCAGCCGACCGGGGTTCAAAACCACACCGGGATCCGAAGACGCCAAGCCCCAGGTGGAAGCCGGCAAGAGAGTCGAGGAGTTGCGCCGTCGGCGGGGTGAAAATGAGAGTGAAGAATTTGAGAAGCTGAAGCAGAAGCAACAAGAGGCGGCGGTGGAACTGGAGGAGCTGAAGAAGAAGCGTGAAGAACGGAGGAAGATTCTGGAAGACGAAGAACAGAAAAGGAAGAAAGACGAGGCGGAGAGGAAAGCTCGGGAAGAGGTAACAAAGCTGGTGCGTTCAGAAAGAGAGCAAGGATGTGTCTCTGGGTTTCAGATTTAACTGGCTTTGCACAGGGCACCTAATTAGATAAGTTAAAGACCCCAACAGATGCAGTTTGGCCTAGCGGTTAAGTAATCAGGCTAGCAACCAGGAGATGGTGAGTTCTAGTCCCGTCTAAGGCATGAAACCCAGTTGGGTAAACTCTGGGCCAATCACCAAAAGTTTGCAAATTCTAGTCTTGCGTTAGGCGTGAAAGCTGGCTGGGTAGTTTGGGGCCAATCACCAGGAGATTGTGAGTTCTAGCCCTGCCTTAGTCATGAAAGCCGGCTGGGTGACTTTGGGCCAGTCACCAGGAGACTATAAATTCTAGTCTTGTCTTAGTCATGGAAGCCGATGGAGTGTTTTTGAGCCAGTCCCTCTGTCTCAGCCCAACCCACCTCACAGTTTGTTGTTGTAGGGAAAATAACAAGAGGAAAGATATTAGGTAAGTTTGCCACCTTGAGCTATTTATAAAAATAATAAAGACGGGGTATAAATAAATAAAATAAATTCACACAACCTGGTAGGCATGGCTGGTGTTGATTTTTGAACGTGTGTCTTAGCATTGTTGTGTAAATCTAACCTTCTAGTTAATCTGTAATTCACTATACCATATTAAGAAAGAAAACAGGTTAGTTCAGAGACAAATAAGCATGTTGCAGCCAAAAGTGATAGAGCAGTTTAATTCTGACTTAGGGTGATATGTGAATCTGCTACTCTCTTTGTAGGCAGCATTTGGTGTGTTTCGACTCGGCGGTGGTTTATTCAATTTTAGCTTAGCAGAGTGAATGCATGAAGTTCCAAGAAGCGATTCTGTGTGATATGTTTGGATTAATATACTGCATGGACACTTCCATTGTGGGTTGTAAACCATGTGTCCAGTCCTTTACTCCATCTTTCTTGTTCTGCAATATATTGGAAATATCCATTTTTATTCCCAGAGTCTGAGAATTCCAGGGGTCTCCAACCTTGGCAACTTTAAGACTTGTGGACTTCAACTCTGAGAATTCCTCAGCCAGCTTTGCTGGCTGAGGAATTCTGGGAGTTGAAGTCCACAAGTCTTAAAGTTGCCAAGGTTGAGGACCCCTGCTTTACTCCATCTTTCTTGTTCTGCAATATTTTGGAAATACCCATTTTTATTCCCAGAGTCTGAGAATTCCAACACTGTAGTTTTGAGTTTAGAATCATGAATGAACCAGGGCACTGATTTATTTAACATACCATATTTGAAACATATTATGACTTAGCACAATGGGCATTTAATTGGTCTCTTGTTCCATCTTTTTGTATGATCTCCAGCAGTCATGCCCACCCTGGAACCACTAAGATGTGTTGCTAATTAAATGAACATACAGATTAGTTATCTATGAATTGTATCCAAAAACTGGACACATTTTGAACATTATTTAAAAGCAACTGTCCATATCCATATTTGCATAGAAACTGACACAGACAGTGATCAGGCATTGAATGTAAGACGTCTACACTGTTTGATGGTAGGTTTAGATGTCTCAGGTTTTATGTACATTTTTGTGTAATGGTGGCTAGTAGTAGTTTGTGCATCTGAAAATTTCATCACAATGACAAAACCAATTTTTGTGATGAACTATTGCATGCTCTGCCCTGTGGGACATGTTTCTGATGCCACAATACATATACAAAGTGTTAAATCTTGCATCACAACTGTTCTTTCATTATTTGCTCCTCTTTGTTGATACCCAACACCAGCTGGGCTTGTTACTTTATTGCCACTTTCGAATCTTAAGGATTAGTTAAAATTGCTGATATAGGCAATTAAATGGTTCCCTCCTATGTTGTTGTTGTTGTTGTTTTGGCAGGAAGAGAAAAGGCGGCTGAAGGAAGAAATTGAGAGAAGAAGGGCAGAAGCCGCTGAGAAACGCCAGAAGATGCCAGATGAAGCCCAGGGTGAAGAGAAGAAGCCTTTCAAATGTTTCACTCCAAAAGGTTCTGCTCTCAAGGTAAGGCTCCTTCCAGCTGCTGATGCCACATCATTTGGATCAAGTATCTGTGAAAGACATTCCAGTTGTCATCATGATGGTTGTACAAAAATCAACCCTGTGCATTGCATGTGCTGATATAACAACACCCAGAAGCATCGTTATATAACGCAGCTGCATCTTCTGAATCCATTGCTCCTCTATTCTGTGCAAAGCTCTTAGACCAGTGGTGGTGAACCTATGGCACAGGTGCCACAGAGCCCTCTCTGTGGGCGCACGTGCCATTGACCCAGCCTTGCCTCCTCCCGTGACCCCCTCCTCTCCAGCAGCCCCCCTGAAGGAGAGTCGCCCTCGAGTGTGGCCCACACGGAGCAGCGCAGCCAAGGACATGGCAGCCAGGCAACATAGACAAAACTCTGCCCTCACACCCCATCATGCAGTTGATGCTGCAGGGCGCAGGCAGAGGGTGTGGCTGCCATAGTGCTGCTGGGCTACCTGGGTGATCTGCGGCAGGCCCTGGAGGTGGTGAGTGGTCCTGTGGGCAGCCGGGGTGGGGAATGGGGGGGGCAGAGCGGGGCGGGCAGGGGGTGGAGCGGGGGTGGGGCCAGTTTTTGGGCACTCGGTCTCTAAAATGTTCACCATCAATGTCTTAGACTTTTGTGTGTTAGGACTTCTTTAGTCACAACAATTATATGTCAAAACAAAGCTTGAGAGAGAGGGAGGTACCAATATTCACCATCCTGGTGGAAAAAAGGTTTTGCATGCTGAATGAATTGGGCAGACTTCAAAAAACTCAAAGAACTTTCTGGAAATTGAATTACGGTAGAGAGGGAACAATGACGGTCTCATCCATGCAAGGACTGAGTTCCGTTAGAATGTATATTTCTTCTTTTTAGTGGGAACAGTCACTGAAAACACAAAAGATGACCTCATTATTTTGACTACAGTGGTACCTTGGTACTTCTCATTAGTTGATTCCAGGAGGCACGATGAGTATCAAAAATGATGAGTATCAAACCACTTTTTCCCATAAGGATTATAATTATAATGTGTTCCCAAATCAAAGACAATGCACATTTTAAAGGCAATATGTAAAAAGATAGGGTTGTATATCAATACACATAAGAGATAAACCTAAAATGAATACATCACTTAAATATGAGCCAACAATGTGCTGCAGCTGCCAAAAAAGCCAACACAATGCTAGGCTGCATTAACAGGGATAGAATCAAGATCACGTGAAGTATTAATACCACTTTATAATGTTTTGGTAAGGCCACACTTGGAATACTGCATCCATTTTTGGTCACCATGATGTAAAAAAGATGTTGAGACTCTAGAAAGAGTACAGAGAAGAGTACAAAGATGATCAGGGGACTGGAAACTAAAACACATAAAAAACAGTTGCTGGAATTGGGTATGTCTAGTTTAATGAAAAAGCAGGGGTGACATGATAGCAGTGTTCCAGTATTTGAGGGGCTACCACAAAGAAGAGGGAGTCAAGCTATTCTCCAAAGCGCCGGAAGGCAGGACAAGAAGCAATGGATGGAAACTAATCAAAGAGAGAAGCAACCTAGAACTAATGAGAAACTTCCTGACAGTTAGAATAATTAATCAGTGGAACAACCTGCCTCTAGAAATTGTGAATGCTGCAACACTGGAGATTTTTAAGAAGAGATTGGACAACCATTTGTCTGAAATGGTATAGGGTTTTCTGCTTGAGGAGAGGGTTGGACTACAAGACCTCCAAGGTCCCTTCCAACTCTCTATTCTATTCTATTCTATTCTATTCTATTCTATTCTATTCTATTCTATTCTATTCTATTCTATTCTAATCATTGATATTAGTGTAACTCTTGTCCCGTGGCGAGTTGTGCCGTGGCGAGGTGGCTGTGGTGAGTTGTCCTAGACCAGTGATGGCGAACCTTTTAGAGACCGAGTGCCCAAACTGCAACCCAAAACCCACTTATGCATCGTTGAGTGCCGGGTGGGTATGGCCCATTGGTTGGGTGTGGCCAATTGGGTGGGCGTGGCTGCGGTGGTAATGGCAGACTAGGCGGGACTAAAAAGTTTAATCAATCAATTCCAATTTTGCAAGATCTTTTTTTTTCCCGCGAGAAGTTGAAATTGACTGATTGAACCTTTTTTTTTTTTTGCACATGGCGGCGGAGGCCTAAAGCGAAAAGGTTTTATAAAACCCATCTGAAGGTCTAGGACTGCGGCAATGGTGCACATGCCCACAGAGAAGGCTCTGAGTGCCGCCTCTGGCACCCGTGTCATAGGTTCACCACCACTGTCCTAGACGCACCTGGTGACTTTTGGAGAAGAGGAGGGGATAATTGCACAACTATTTTTGGATTTTCTTAAGATGGATTAGAATTGGACTGCTACAACATTCTCTGCCTTGGCTGGGTTCTTTCATGATGTATCTTTTGTGAATCTAGGCAAATATAGCTTATTACATAAACCATGGCTTAGTGTGAAGCATGAAACTGTATGTTGATGGACTTTTACCATTCATTTTATCTCATAGGATTTCACCTTATTGTTTTTATGAATAGAATAACATCAAATTTCGAAAACAGAATTAAAAAAAAAAAAGACTGGAGTTCAACTTCCTAATTTAAGGCAAAGCGCAAGAGCATTTTCTTAATGCTATGCTTTCCATCTTATTTTACAGATATATTTTGTAATTCTGTTTACCGTATGTTTCTTACCAATTTTCAGTCGTGGGCATGTTGTTGGCTTGCTGTTGTGATGACTTTTGTTTCCTAAGAGTGTGTATAGTGTTGCTCAGTCACTGGCCTCTTTGTTCTACTGAATCCTGTTAGCAGATGAGTCTCACTACACCAAACAGAAAAGAAACAACGATTATAATATTATATTATGTGATAGCATATTTATACTGCTCTTTGAATAAAAAAAAACAAGCCAGCCAATAGCATTAAAACTGCCAGCAAAAGGAGATACAAGACTGATAAATATGAATGTTTTGTGCAACTAGCTCTGTCCCTAGTATAGAAATGAGAACTCTTTCCAAGGAGAACATTACAAAGATGCTATAGCTGAAAACACCTTTTTATATATCACTACTTTCATGGGTAAAAGCTGGGCTATAAAAAGAATTGTAAAAGTTAGGATGCAGATTTAATTGAAACAAACTTTCCTTTAGTCAGATACTTAACCATATGCTTGCCTAAAGCACTTTTCTAATTCTGAACAAACCTGCAGTGTAACAAGCACACTTCAATTTTACACATACATTTTAGAGCTAATACTGAAACAGTTTTAAAGCATTGTGAAGGCATTCAAGGGTTGAGAAATCATATGGACTGCTGAGTTCTGGACATGCCGAACAAGGAAGTTTATATTTGCTTTAACTAAAATTAAATCACTCAATCTTTTCTACCAGGAGTTGCAAAATCTATACCTGGTGTCCTGACATTTCTGAAGCAACATGTATTGTTGGTTTGGGGAAAGTGTGGATTTTGAAATGAAAATGCAAGTCATGAAAAAAGAGCAGAACATCTGGGACCTGTTTCAGATGCAAAGAACTTCGACATCTAATTATTCACCCCCTCCCTCTATATAAAAAGCCACACAGATTATCCACAGATAGTAATCCATTAATCCATGTGTAGCGTTTTCTTGTATGTGCTTGCAGGTTAAAGCAAAAATAAGAGCAACAAGAACTTGCTACACCTGGTGGCTTGCAAGTGTTATCAATGTGGGAAATTTGTAATGTTTAAACAACTCTTAAGAGAGTTGAGATGATGGAAAAACAAACTTTACTTCTGTTCTGCTGCCCTCTGGTGACTCTGAAAAGCAGCACAACATCATGGTATGGTAGTCCTCTTTGGACAATCAATCTAGAGATTCAAGAATTCTTTAATCTTAACATTCCAGTTTGTGACAATTAAGATTTCTCAATTCATCAGGCAATTTTGTTTATGAAATCTTTCACTTCTTTCCTCTGTATTTTAGAATGGGTTCCTCCTGTCTTGTTTTAAACAAGTTCCCCATCATATCTCAAATATAATCCCATGGTTCAACACTGATTTTTAATCAGGGTACTAAAGTAGAGTAGTTGATAAGTTTGGGACTGTATTATAGATAGAACTGTGCAGTGAAAAGATTAGACAAGAAGCTAGGTGGTTCGTTTTTTAAAAAACAAAATAATACTTGGGATTGTGACATTTTTAGAACTGATGGTCAAATTATTTCCTCAAGTTATCTCAGGTAGTTTGATGTTTTTGGCTTCACTCTGTTAGTAACTTTTATCAAAGGAGATTTCAAGAACCATCTGCATAATCAGTAATGCAGATGCTAAGAAGAGGCAGCCCTGGTCTAATGTATATGGATAGTTCAAGCGAGATGTGCTTCCAACAACATCTGACATCACTTTTTAGTCTTCTAACATATAGTTTTGTCACCTGATAAATGTGAAAGAGGATGTCAGACTGGGGGGAGAGGGATGTCAGAATGGAGTGACATGCATTTTAGACCCCTAAATATTTTTGGAGAAACAAAAACAGAAGGCTGCTGTTTTCAGTTCTTTAACTTTTGCAACATCTGGTTTCATTTCTGGATGGAGGCTGCATGTGGAGTGATTCTGCTTTTCTTTCCTGTCCTGGGGTGACTTTTTAAAGCTACTTCATTTTAGCATTATTGCTCTGTTAATTTTTTTTCTTACAAACTCTGTGACATTTTAGGATCCGAAGTTGGCCCTCAGTGTAAGTGTAAGGCCCTGATCCTTCTCTCCATTTCATTGTGCTGTTGCTGTGATGTGTGCTACACACTTGCTATATTTGTTGCATATATGTGAACCATTGCATTATTGAAACCTCTTCCAGGTTCTGTGATATTTGTAGATCTCCCTTTTATTTACTTCTCTGCCTCTTTTCTTTAGATAGAAGAACGTGCAGAGTTCTTGAACAAATCCGCCCAGAAGAGGTAAAGAGCTCAAACATAAAGAAAAAGGTTATAATGAAAGTTTAATGCACGGGATATGAACTGACAAGTCTCTGTCATTTCATTCTTTTCACAGTGGCCTGAAACCTACTCACACGACTCCAATTGTCTCCAAGATAGACAGTAGGCTGGAACAATATACCAGCGCAATTGAGGTGAGTGGCTTTCATCTTCTCAATTTCCCATGTTCTTCTGATTGACCACTGTGCTCAGGACAAATCAAACATTTTTCATAGACCATGATTTCTTAAAAACATGTCATTAAATACTCTGGAATTCCTTGGAAGAGATGGAGCAATGAATATTTATTTAAACTTTTCTGTCTCAACGTATGATGTACAGATTAGCCTGTTGAGTAGGACCCAGAGAGACCCAGCTTTAAGACTGTCTTCAACCATGGAAACTCATTTGGGCCAGTTGCCCTCGGTCAACCCAACTTACAAAGATTTTTGTAGGGAGAAATTATATACTGCCTTAAGCTTCTGGGGGTGGCACAGTGGCTCAATGGTTAAGATGCTGGGCTTGCCGGGTAGAAAGCTGGCAGCCCAGGTTCAAGTCCCCAGCACCATGTGACATCCTCTCCTCAGCTCCTGCTAACCTAGCAGGTCGAAGCATGCAAATGCAAGTAGATAAACAGGCACCACTTCGGTGGGAAGGCAATAGCACTCCATGACATCATGCTGGCCACATGACCATGGAAATGTCTTTGGATAGCACCGGCTCAATGGCCTTGAAATGGAGATGAGAACCATCCGCTATGGTCGGCAACGACTAGCACAGGGGTAGGCAACCTTGGCTCTTTTATGACTCGTGGACTTCAACTCCCAGAATTCCTGAGCCAGCCATTCTGAGGGGAAAGGGAGAGGTTTCCAAGCTCAGCCATGCTGGCTCAGGAATTCTGGGAGTTGAAGTCCACGAGTCATAAAAGAGCCAAGGTTGCCTACCCCCGTGCTAGCAGAATAAAATCTGCAGGGATTCCTTTACCCTTTTTAAGCTTCTGGAGAAAGGTGGGATAAATCTGGCAAACAAATAAAGTACATTTCATTCAAATACCCCATTTGCTTAAGCTCCCCTCACTGCCTGAGCCTTTGTTTCAGTCTTCCTTTCAGCGGCCTTTGTGTGAAGTGTATTTAAGAGATCAACTTAAGATGAACTTGGGGAAATCGTTGTGGATTTATTTTGGCCATCGGTCCTTCTGATTGTTGGTTTGAACGTTGGTGAGATTGAGCCAGGCTGTAGCCCAATAGCAGCTGGTAAAGTAGGAGGATGAAAAAAGAGCAGGAGGAAGAGGAGGAGAAGAGTGGTGGCCCATTGGGGCAGCTATCCTGACTCACCAGTTGCTTCTTCCAGGGCAACAAAGCTCCGAAGGCCGCCAAGCCAGCTGCCTCTGACCTCCCAGTTCCTGCTGAGGGAGTGCGCAACATCAAGAGCATGTGGGAGAAAGGCAATGTATTTTCATCACCCTCTGGAACGGGGACACCCAATAAGGTACATGCCATCCTTCAGACCTTCCTGCCCCTGTGTCTGGCTCTGCAGTTCCCAGGTCAGTCAAGGCAAGGCATATAAATAAGACCTGAGGTAATTAGTGAAAATGCAGATTCTGAACTTCAAACAGGAAAGGAAGTTTTGCTTTTTGAAAGGTATTTTTTAATTCTGTTTGTGAGATGGTGTTTCACGGAGACATCGCTCTGAGTATTGAAGCTGTGAAACAAAGCTTTGGCATAAGAGTTCATGGATTGGTAAACTTCTCAACTGTAGGACTTCAAGGTTCTCATACGTGTTCTTGTGAAGTTGCACAGATGTTTATGAGATTTAGCACTCTTACAGACTAAGACATATAGATTTGGGTGATCAGCTGTTGCAATCTGTAGTGCTGTTATTTCTTACCATGAAGCGTCCAGTTCTATTTACAAACAAATGTTCTGCAGGAAACAGCTGGGCTAAAGGTTGGAGTCTCCAGTCGCATCAATGAATGGTTAACTAAGACCCCAGAAAACAACAAATCAGCTGCTTCAAAACCATCCGTGAGTATTTGTTCCTCTTTTTTTTCATAAAATGCTCCTCTTTTTTTATCATAAAATAAAATAGAAGCTTAATAACTTTTGCAGGAAAGAAAGAGAACTTCAGTACTATTTTGGTAGATATTACTGGCTTCGGATTTTGGGATGCTCATCCACATTAGCTTATCTTTATTTCAATAATTTCTTGTCCTTGCCATCATCACTGATTGATTGCCCAGGCAGTTGACAGAGGAGTTCAGGGTTTTAGTCTAGTGCTGTCTTAGAACAGAACAGACAAGTAGTCAGCACATCATGGATAATGCAGGATTTGGTGTATATTTGAACCTATTGAACCAAAGCGCCTGAGGGCAGGACAAGAAGCAACGGGTGGAAACTGATCAAGGAGAGAAGCAACCTAGAACTAAGGAGAAACTTCCTGACAGTTAGAACAATTAACCAATGGAACAACCTGTCTCCAGAAGCGGTGAATGCTCCAACACTGAAGTTTTTAAGAAAAAACTGGACAGCCATTTGTCTGAAATGGTATAGGGTTTCCTGCCTGAGCAGGGGGTTGGACTAGAAGACCTCCAAGGTCCCTTCCAACTGTATTATTATTATTATTATTATTATTATTATTATTATTATTATTATTATTATTATTATTATTATTATTATTATTATTATTATTATGGATCATCGCAGAGTCAGCCAGATGTTCAGACTGGATTTGGCATTTTGTCTACCTATCGAGTCCTTACCCAGGACCTGGGATAGGCAAATATGGATGTTTGATGGTATTACAGATATCGTCGCAGGATGAAAGCAGTTCCTAGTAAGGCCGCCTTTTGCAATTGACTAATGGCGAATTTGTCAATGCCAATGGTGTTCAAGTGGTGCTCCAGTTGTTTTGGGATTGCACCCAAGGCGCCTATTACTATTGGTACCACCCTTGCTTGCTTTTGCCACAGTCTTTCTATTTCTATTTATAGGTCTTTGTATTTTGTTATCTTCTCCAGTTGTTGTTGTTGTTGTTGTTGTTGTTATTTCCTACCATTTGTGAATGAGAAAAACTGTAATGTGAGAACTCAGTGTTCAGAAGGTTGTCCCTGTTTTGAGTTTACCAAGGGCATCCTTACTCAACCTGATGTTCTCCAGCATGTTTAGACCATATTTTTTTTATAATTTGCAACCAAATAGAAATTGCAATCTACTGTTGGAGCTAAAATAGTGGTTTAGATAGCTGTGATATGGTATCAATCTGCTGTTTCTACATTCTTCTCTATTCAAAACTAGCAGCCAGATGTTCATAAGCTCAGAGATAAATATTTCATATAAGAAGGCTGGACATTATAAGTGGACTATAGTAGAATTATTCACAGAAGTGAGTTGATACTAATCTGTCCTTTCTCTCCATTCCTTCTTTCTCAGTCAACTGCTTTCTTCTCTTCCCTCTTTCACCACCATCTTCTTGGCTGGAATTCTCTATATATCTCCGTTGTTCTGTTCTTCTTTCGGATTGACTGTTTGCTTTTAAACTGAGTCAGGTAAATCAGTTTTAAAACTCTTCTGCAACACCATGACCTTCCAGTTCCAGCCCATTTATGTATGTCCAGTTATCTGTGGACCTATTATTTTGAAAGAAATGATTTAAAAGTCTCATGATTTCACCTTTGGGGAAAGTTTATCTAAATAGCACGAAGTTTTATATATATATATATTACCCCGTTCTTTGTTTCAAATGCTTCCTTTGTTTTCTTTTGGAAACAGGACTTACGACCTGGAGATGTATCTGGCAAACGCAACCTTTGGGAAAAGCAGTCGGTTGAGAAGACCCCTTCTCCATCAAAGGTGACCACCCCATCTGTTCCTGTTCCATTTTGGGGAGTGGGGTGGTGGTGTAATCTCTGAAGTCCCCTTCAACTGCCCTGCTGAATTTCACTGACATAATTGCCAAAGCAACCTAGAACTAAGGAGAAACTTCCTGACAGTTAGAACAATTAACCAGTGGAACAACCTGCCTCCAGAAGCGGTGAATGCTCCAACACTGGAGGTTTTTAAGAAGAGACTGGACAACCATTTGTCTGAAATGGTATAGGGTTTCCTGCCTGAGCAGGGGGTTGGACTCGATGACCTCCAAGGTTCCTTCCAACTTTACTACTACTACTACTACTACTACTACTACTACTACTACTACTACTACTACTACTACTATTATTATTATTATTATCATCATCATTATCCTCCTCCAACTGTTTATTTACAAAGACATCCAGCCCACAAAGGGGAACTGATCAATAGACAGGCCTATTATAGTTTATTTTATCTCTCATTCATTGCATTCTTTGTACACCATATCCACGTCGTTAAGATCTACCAACCAAAAAATGAAAAATAAAAATCCAGTATGTACTGCTAATAAACACTTTATGTTTCTCTAACCTTTTTTTTTTAATTTCTCTTTTCTTGAATCAGGTCACAGCAGCAGGAAGGAAGCTGGAGACCAATGGTAAGCAAAAGCGAGCATTTCAGTGTCTGGGATCAGGTGTGGCCTGAACAAGGGGCCCAAGCCTCAATTTTGGAATAATATTAATAGGATTGTCAGACAGTCTCCCCTCCCCAGTGGCCTGTCCCTGATAGCAAATGGGGCTCTTTGGCTGGAATCTGTAAGAGACAAACAGCAGATCCTTCAGATTCCTGGCTAGTTTCAAAGCCTCTGAAGATGTGAGCTACCCATTGAATATTGTATTGTTCTTCCTACGGTCCTCTTTATTGTTGCTGTATCTTCAACTCAGCTCCCCTTTTACGTAGTATTCCTGCTACTGTCTTTCCTGCCCTCCAACATTGGGTAAATTTGCCTGTGAATTGGCTCACCTATCACGTGAAGCTATGATTGGCTTGGCCATAGGTGAATAAACTATCATTAGATGGGTTTGCTCAACAAGATCCAATGTCATAACCATGGTTTGCATACAGCAGTGTCTGGGTCCATTTATAAACAAGAATCTAGCCAAGCCCTTTATAGGTTAATGTAAGATATATCATGGTCTTTCTGTTCACATTCCTGCCCACTACGAAGAAACAATTACTTTTATTTCCTTCCTGTTCAGCTCCTTACATGTCTAATTAAGCATCTCCAACTTAAGTAGGAATTAATGAGCCTTTTGAAATCTTTTAAATGGTTCTCTGCAGGATCCATTTCTTTTCAGGCATTATACCAGTACTGAGATATACTTACTTACCCAAGAATAAGCTGATTCAAACCCAATTTTGCAGTTCACTATACTAAAAGATTGCATTCCATATGAATGAGGAGGTAAAATTTGAGCTGGGAGCAGTAAAAAGTTATGGACCCTTTAAACATTAAGTTTAACTCAGCGGTTCTCAACCTATGGGTTGCGACCCCATTTGGGGTCGATCGACCATTTCACGGGGGTCGCCAAGCAAAGCTGTCTGCCATTTTTTTCCCCCTTTTCCGGCGGGTGCCTTACCTCCCTTGAGCTGGGCCAGCTGGTGGTCGGCCTGCTCCGTCTCTGCCGCTTGCCAGCTACGCCTCGGCCGGCACAGGGGGCAGAACCACACATGCGCGGCGCTCCCAGGCAGGGAAAGTCCTCGACTTACGACCGGTTGGGTAGTCCTCGACTTACAACCGGTTTAGTCCTTGACTTACGACCGGTTTAGTCCTCAACTTACGACCGGTTGGGGGTCGCAGCATTAAAAAGGTTGAGAACCACTGGTTTAACTAATCTGTCTTTTGAAAAGAAGCAATCAGTGGGTATTCTTTTAAAGGTAGTTAAGATTGAACCTATTGGAAATCAAAATCACATGAAATATTAATACTACTTTATAAATCCTTAGTAAAACCACACCTGGAATACTGCATCCAGTTTTGGTCACCACATTACAAAAAGATGTTGAGACTTTGGGAAAAAGTGCAAAGAAGAGCAATTAAGATGATTAAGGGCCTGGAGAGAAAAACATATGAAGAACAGTTGTAGGAATTGGGTATGTCTAGTCTAGGGAAAAGAAGGACTTGGGGTGACATGATAGCAGTATTCCAGTATTTGACAGGCTGCCACAAAGAAGAGAGAGTCAACCTATTCTCCTAAGCACCAGAAGGCAAGACAAGAAACAATGGATGAAAACTAATCAAGGAGAGATGCAATCAGGAATTAAGGAGAAACTTCCTAACAGTGAGAACAGTTAACCAGTGGAACAGCTTGCCTTCAGAAGTTGTGGGTCCTTCATTACTGGAGATTTTTAAGAAACTGAACAGCCACCTGTCTGAAATAGTACAGGGTCTACTGCTTGAGCAGAGAGTTGGACTAAAAAACCTCCAAGGTCCCTTCTAGTTCTATTCTGATTCTGATTCTTCTAGATTGTGGAGAATGAGCAAGAAAGAAAGATGGTATAGTCCTTAAAATTTGATTTTAGCATTGCAACCTAAGCAAGTCCTTGGACAAGTAAGGGTCTTCCAACTAAGCCCCAAATGGTGACATTTCTGGTGATTTGAGGCAACTCCACCACTTTTCTTTCTTTCAGCAGGTTTGAGACAATTTGAAAAGGAGCCTTAAGGAAGCCACCAATTACGCTGGACCAATTCGGTTTTCAAAAACAGAAGTGCTAAATTTGTCCTCTTCCTTTTATATATATTTATGTTTGTTTTTGTTGGTTTATTGCGGGGGGCGGGGCGGGGGGTTGGCTACATTATCCCAGTTTTTAAGGAAACCATGTATATTAGCACTGTATTTAATATTCAGTCTTAAAACATTTGTCTTAATAGTAGTGCCTTGTAACAAGAGCCTTATTCCTCAAAGAAATCCATGCTGTGAAAGAGAGACACTTCTACTGAAGAAGTCTAACAAACTGTGTGTCCAGACTAGAAACATTCAACATGTAGGAGAGGGACATCTGCTGTGCACACCTTCCACTTGTGAGTCCTGTCCCAAATAGGTGAGGCAAACACAGGGCCAGGATAGGCGGAACACAGGCTGGTCCATTCACAAGCAAAGCACCTGATCAGTGGGCCCTCAAGAGTCAAGGCAGAGTCAACTTCTTTGCTACTATTGACTTATTGTTGACTTGAGTGTAGAAAGGTTTGGTATAATTCCCTAAGCCTATCGTGGTCCATAGAACACTATATGATAGGTTCACCATCTTTGATGGTCCACCACCTTTGATAGAACGGTGGCCTTCTCCCCCTTTGCGCTCCAGCATCATATCACAGATTAAGAGGATGCCACGTATGTTGTTGGTGGAGTGGCTAATCCATCACTTACATTTTGCTTGGTACATACCTGTAAGCATCTTCTCCATCCATAAGGTCATGTGCAAAGCCAAGAAGTCTTACTTTCCATGAAAGGAAAGTAGGGGAGATGCAAGGAATGGGGCTGTATGGATCCCATACAAATATCCTTCCCATACCTAAGTGAGATGAGCCCCATTTTTTTTTCCTTTCAGCACTTTAGAGTAAGGCATGGAAGAAACATGCTGAGTTGGCCATTTCCTTCCGTAACTAGTCCATAATGAATTAGCATCATCAATACAACTTTCATAGTTTGAAGTAGCATTCCCCCGCTCCCTTTGGTAAGTTATAGTTAATACCTTGAATTTGGACAATGGCAATCAGCAGTGGTACTGATAATGTATCTCTCTCTTTTTTGTTTGTATTTTTTAAAAAATTAGTTAACAGTTTTAGAATATATACATTTCGCTTTTCTAAATGTTATGTATAAGGCACTACTAATGATAGAAGGCTTTTAATACTTATTTACTTCATTTAGCTATAAACGTACATAACTAGCCAATATCACAACTTTTTTTTTTAAAAAAAAGAATACACACCTTTTATATTAATATTCCATAATTGCCATTAGGGACATGGCAAGAGAAGTATTAGATTGTGTTTTTTAAAAAAAAATAATAAGATGAGCGAATAAAATTATAGTTTTAAAGAGGGAAGAAAAAAAAAGTTTTAGGTCATAGGTCACATGTATAAAACAATATAGCTAATTTATATAGAACTACCATAATTACCACACAAGAAATACATGCACACGCGCTGTTGGGTATCTTTTTTTTCCACTTTATTGCACACTGATTTTGCTTTTTATCAGGTCTGTATACACGTCTCACATTCTCGCTTTAGAAAATAAATAGGGCACCATCCTTCCTATTGCCATACAATTTTGTGCACAAGTATAGTAGCCCTTGGCCCTAGGTCAGGGGTAGGCAACCTTGGCTCTTTTATGACTCGTGGACTTCAACTCCCAGAATTCCTGAGCCAGCATGGCTCAGCTTGGAAACCACTCCCTTTCCCTTCAGCATGGCTGGCTCAGGAATTCTGGGAGTTGAAGTCCACGAGTCATAAAAGAACCAAGGCTGCCTACCCCTGCCCTAGGTGCACTAACCAAGGAGGGCAGAGGGTCACTTTCTGTAGCTTCCAGATGCATTGGAAATCTGAGGAGTTACAATCCCAACACATCTAGAAAATCTCATGTTGGGAAGGGCTACTTGATGCCCTTCAACCTTCTCCCTCCCTTCTCAAGAAGCCCAAAGCTAGAGAACAAGCACTTGCCGAATTCCAGGCAATGAGGAAGGCGGCTTCATTTGAACCCAGAAGCCTCTCCAGAGAGGATTATCTGGTGTGCCTCAGTCACTTCACCCCAAGTCTTTAACATCCATATTATTTGACCTGTATATAGTAAACCATAAAAGTTTTTTTTAAGTAAGTTTGAATTTACAAATCACATGATGATTAGGGTTGGTTTTTTTTACACCATACCTTGGGTGGAGTGAAGTGAGCTTTATTTAAAATTTATAGCCCACTCCAAATGCGACAATAGCTTGAGAATGGTTAATTTCTGTATACAGGTTTACATTTTTATTGCATCTGTTTGTCCTTTTTAGTTTTTATTTTTAAATGGAATATGGAATAGCGGTATCCAAGCTCCATTGCTTTTGTGAATCATCAAGTTTACATAATGAATTTCACTGGGGCTTACCGGCTGGATCAGAATCATAAAAGAAGAAGTCTTGGGTCTGTTTGTGGTTTGGCTTTGTTTTTTTAAATACACTTTGGAATCCTTACATCTGAATACCTACCATAAAACCAATATGCTGAATTTGTAATTCACAATAAATGGAGTTTGTCTGCCAGATGGATGGAGTGATTTTCTTTCTCAACCAGGGCTTTTGCATGACATCACCTTCATGTTTGTCTTGCATCTTCAGTCATTCTTTCTGAGAACAACACCACTTCAGTGCAATTACGCTGTACGGTTCATTCATTTTGTGTTCGATTTATATTCATTCAGGCCCGTTCATACCTGTCTCTGTTCTTGTTTTACCCACAAACAAGTAATAGCAATAGCACTTAGACTTATATACCGCTTCACAGTACTTTATGACTGCATTGGGATCACAATTTCTGCCTAAAGTCCTTGCAGTCCTAAGTCGAATCAGACCCAATTTTATGACAATTTTTATGGCATAAGGTCATTAAGTGAATTGCAGCTATTATTAAGCAAATTCAGCTTCCCCAATGGACATTTTTGCTAGCTAGAAATTTTGCAAATCACGATCATACGATCATAGGATGCTACAATCAGTCATAAATGCGAACTGGCTGTCAAGCAACCAAATTGCATTAATGTGACTGGGGCGAGGAGGGTGATGCAACAGTTGTAAGTGCAAATACAGGTTGTAAGTCATTTTTTTCCAAGGCCGTTTTAACTTTGACCCATTGTGAAACAAATGGTCGTAAGTTGAGGACTACCTCTACCTCTTAAGTAACCCTTTCCTCCTGCATTTGATTTACTATCATGTTTCTCTTGATATATTTGCCTCTCACTTGTGTACTGTACTGTAGGCCAGGACACTCATATACCACCATTTTTGCTTCTTTCAGCATTCCTTTCTTCTTTGTCTTCTATCAACATTTGCACATACAGTATTAAACAGTTTCCAGTTCCCTCTTTTAAATTTTCTGCCAGAATATACAAATTCATTTCCTTGTTCCAGTACTTCACCATTTACGTATGCATTCATTGTTCCTATTTTTCTGGTAAAATGAAACTACCTGTGTCTTTAGGGCATTTATTTTCAGATCTACACTCTTTTTGCTATATATTATCTTGGGAGGCCCACACAGTTTCCAGCATATCATCAAGTAGAAGGCGCATGCACGAGACTATCATACTTAGGCTATAGCAACCTTCTTTTGCCAAGGATGAAATTCTGTATGGGGAAGCAAGCAAGGCTTAAAATGGCAAAGCTGAGACCTGCAACCAGCTAGGAACCACACACCATTTGTAGCAATAAATAGGGATCTAAATCAGCTTGAAAAACATATGACTGTTTCCCCAGAGTGGAGGTGGATGGTTCTAGGTAAACATAATAAAACAAAACTATTGGCCCATTATGTGTCCATACTGCTCATCAATTTACTATATCATTTCCATCAATTATTGAATTTGTAATATCAGCTCTATGATTGTTTCTAAATGCAAAGAATCAGCATGATAACCTTCAATATATGTTCCTGACCTACTGTCCAAATTTTGCCAACTATTATGAAGTCGTCGTGGAGGAAGGAAGAAGAACAAGAGGAGCAGATATCTACCTACGGTTTCTGGAAGTTCTTAACCTGACAACTGAGTCCACTTTTCAGGATATGTTTTCTTCTTTGCAATTTGTCTCTATATGGGCAGGGGGCTACTCAGTTGGTGAAGAATAGTAACACATGATAAAGTTCTACATGAATGAAATTCCTACATTTTGGGGGCCAGTTATCCAATATCTTAGTAACTGACTTTAAATGTGTAATCTTATGTTTGATGGCAACCGCAAGAATAAGACAAGGAAAATGCATTAGAACTTACAATTTTTTATTTTTTTTAAAAAAAACAGCACAATATCCATTTCCAACATAGGTATGAATTCAAGCAAGCACATTCAAATAAATTCTGCACCATAAAGCCACCAACCAATGAGAATGACAATTGGATACTTTTTAAATTTCATTGTGGAAAATGTTGTAGGTATGACATGGATTTTCAGGGGGCAATTAAACGCAGTCTTCCATTCATCCCCCTTCCTTATTCTTATTCGATAGTAAGCCTCCCACAAGTCTAGTTTGGAGAAAATCTTTCCTTTTGAATGCACCTAATAAATGATAATAGAAACAATTTCCTTGTTCCAAAAGCATAGGTCTCCTGTGTCCTATTTTATTTACATGTTGGTGCTCTTTCCAGAAACTCAACAGTGTTTGTGACTATTCTCCTAGTTCTAATTCTTACATCTCTAAAGTTGTGGGTTACACTTGAATTATTAGCAACTGGTTGGTCTAAGACGATTATAATCATAATCAAGATAGCAAGATAATCATATAAGTTTTATATTAGTTAATCATAATATAATCATAATTTTATAGCCTATTTGGAATCCAAATCTTTCTACTCTATGTATGTAATCTTTCTCCACGCTGTATCTTTACAAGCTGATTTCACAGAATCTGGAAGTACTGTTTAAAATATTTTTTAAACATCATTTATTGAAAAAGCACTAGCTGAGTTCTTACAACATACTAAATCAAC